TCTCTCTCTCTCTCTTTTTGTTCATTGCTTCGATTTATTTCTGCTTGTATTGAGTTTTAGTTCTGCAAAAGAAAATATATAATTGCGATCGATTAACACAGACAGGTAGACATATGTTTGTAAATCAAGGCATCCCTCTCTCTCTCCCTCTCTCTTTCTCGTTTTCCCTTGAATAATATTATGTTATGTCTCTTTTTCTTATTACTTGCCACCCTTGTTCGTATTTTTGGAGAGGTCTATTGTTATTCTGTTCAAATGATGAGTAGCAAAAAGGAAGCCCTTTTGTCTCACACTTCTATATACATATGATTGCTCTGTCTTTAGATCTGAAACCTTGTCGAACAAGTCGATTGCTGCTAGTGAACAATAATAATAATAATAATAATATTGAACAAATTCATCAACATTTGACTCAATTTGAACTAGACGGTTTGCAAACATTATGTTCTCTCTTACGCAAATTAAAAGACAAATCGATCTCGGAAGATCTTGTTCAACCACAACAACTGTTGGAATCAATGGAGGTATAGTAAAAATGAATGTGTGTTGTTTTTTTTATTAATCTATGTATAATGTAGAACAACTAGTAATTTATTCCGTACGAATAGATAGAAATCATGTGTTAAGATTTCATTTGTTTAAATAATTTTATTCAACACAAAAATCCGATCAATAAAGAAAACTATGACAATGTCTATATATCTTATGAGCAGATATTTACACGAAAAATCCACTTGACCTCTCATTCTATTCTCTCTTTTTCTGTTTTTTGATAACCTTGTATTACAACACAAATATATATATATATATCTTAATCTTTAATCTAGCGTCTTCTTATTGATCATGCTTCTGATGATCGTCAATTATCAATAACTGGTCAATCGATAATTCATTACAACTATAATCATCACTATTCTTTCGATTCAACTAACAATCAAGTAAGCTAAAAAACAACAATAGACATAGACACATGTACATAAAGTCGGAGCTCTAAATAAACTATTACAAAAGTCATATTGATTTATACTATGTTTTGTTTCTCGTTATTTATGACATAACATTCTTTATATATATATATTTAGAGTGAAACGGAGACTTTTCAAGGTATAAAACGTAAAAATCCTGTTAATAACGATATGCAACAACCATCATTTCATCATCTTCATCCTTCTCATCAACATGATACATTATCAATGCAACAGCCAACTTCCAATGTTGTTACATTACATCCATCAACAACTGTTCTATTAAGTGGACCATTAGCTAGTTCAAATTCACCAAATTATTATTCTCCTCAACAACAACAACCACAACAACAACAACAACAACAACAACAGCAACAGCAACAGCAACAACATTATGTTAATAATTATAATCAATATAATCCAACAACATCTCCAACTCAACAACATTATCAAACAGATAAAAATAGTTCAACTGCAAAAGATCGACATAAACGTGTTCGGTATAGAGAAAAATAAAATTTATTTATTTAGTTTTTATTTATAATCTTATTTTAGTTGTAAACAATGTGAACCATGTTGTCGAGATGATTGTTCCGAATGTGTACATTGTAAAGATATGCCTAAATTTGGTGGAGTTGGAAAAATGAAACAATGTTGTTTAACAAAACAATGTATTGCACCAATATTACCTTCAACAGCATCATGTCAAGTTTGTTCGAAAAAAAAAGGTTCCAGAAAATTATCACAACTTAAACCAGAAGAAATTCTTTATGAATGTGAACGTTGTATGGAAATTCATCATTTACCATGTTTTCATGTAGATTTAAATAAAATATTTTTTTTATATTTAAAAAATTTTTTTAATATAATTTAGTCTACTCATTCGGATGCAAATGCAAGTGAAGGTGTATTTAGTGATGATATACCTGAAACATGGTTGTGTCCAAAATGTATAACAGCTAATGCACCTGAACCTCCCTTGTACAAATTACGACCTATTGTTCGACGAACATTAGTTACAACGAATAAAGGTAAAAATGGACTTATTGAATTACCTTATATTGATCCTGCTCAACAACAACATCGTCAAATTTTACAACAACAGCAACAACAACAGCAGCAGCAACACCAACAGCAACAGCAACATTATCATATGTATGGAACGAATACCAATTCGAATATACATTATACAGATCCTTATGAAGTAATGGAGAATGAAGCAAAAAAAGTAAGAGAAAATTTTTTTTTTATAAAATTGAAATTTTAATTTTTAAATTTAGCGTCGTCTTTATGCGAGTATGTATACAACAAATGGAAATAGTGATTCATCTGGAATAACGACTACTGATCCACCATTATCTATGAATAATAATAATCTTGTTGCTCTTGATGATCTGTCACAATCATTGAATGATTCAGATTTATATATTCCACAGATGTTTGCTGTTTAATACCTTTTTTTTCTCTCTTTCTCTCTTGTCTGTCATAGTTATCATTCATTCCTGTCTTTTAAATCAGGCTACGAGCAGATACCCCGGTGTATGTGCATGAATTTTAAAAAAGAAGAGTAAGACAGAGAGAGAGTAAGAGAGACAGAATATAAAAAGAATTGTGTATTTGCTTTTTTTTCTTCATTTTTATTTGCTATTCATTCTTTTTTTGTCATTGTCATTTCTGTCTCGTTTTGTTTTTTTTTTCTTGCGCTCATTACTGTTCAATTTTTGGAGATAAAGACAAATGAAGAAATAATATATGAAATTTGAACATGTCGAAAATGGGATATTAAATCAGACATGTAATAGAATTATTCATTGAGAAAGAAAGAATTTTTTATTTATTTGATTGACCTTTAATTTAAAATGTATTGTTTGAACATTTCTTTTTCATCAATAAGAGGAAAACTTAATCAATGATTAATTATCAAATCTAGTCATGTTGATTCAAAGAAATTTAAAAGGAAAAAAACACATTTGATTGCCCACTATGTTACTTTAAAATAAATTTGTTTTTGAATATTTCATGTGACGTTTATTGACAGAAATATAATTGATTTTTTTTACAAGTAAAAAAAATCCGTCATATTATATTCTTTTATCAAGATCAAAAAAAAATACTCTTAACGTTAATGTACATTCAATTGAATCTATAACTCTTGACAATCAATTAAACGGTAACATTTTATATCTTACATTTAGATAATACAAAATTATTTCATTAAATACTTTTATTCGTTATTAAAAAATAAACGAGTTAAAAATGTTTGAACAATTATTTAACTAATGAAAAAAAGAACTAACTCAAAATAAAATTAATGTTTATTTTTATTTATTAAAAATGCCTATCACTGTTATTTTTAATAGATTCCCTTGGCTTTTTCTTTTTTATGATGTACAGGTGATGCTGGACCTTCAAAAACACGATATTGTTGTTGTGGCGAATATTGTTGAAAACCATAAGCATTTTGCCCTAAATTTCCCTGCTGTTGTGGGTAAAATGGATACTGTTGTTGTTGTTGTTGTTGTTGTAGTGGAAAACAGAATGGTGTTTGCTGTTGCGGATAAAATTGAGCTTGTGCCTGCTGTGGATAAAATTGGGCTTGTGCCTGTTGTGGATAAAACTGAGCTTGTGCCTGTTGGGGATAAAATGGATATTGTTGTTGTTGTTGCTGTTGTGGATAGTAGAATTGTTGTTGTTGATATGGATTGCCATATGCACCATATTGTGAATATTGTTGTTGTGGTTGAGAATAACCAGGAAAATAATTATTCAAACCAGGTGTTAATACACATTGTGCACACTGAAATAGATTTAAGTTCATAAAAGATTTAATATTAAAAAATATCTTACGTTTTGTCCAAGACCAGCATATGGCTGTTGAGGTGCAAAACCAGCATATGGTTGTTGTTGGAAAAGATGCATTATTTGATATATAAATATTTGTGTGTATGTCTAATAACTAAATATGAGAAAAGACCGAAAATTACAGAAGAAACTGCGTTTATATAGTCGATCTTCTAATGATAATTAGATGAGAATCATATAGCTTGAAGGTATGTCTTACTCACAGCATTGTCAAATATATAAATCATGATGTCTGATATTGAGTGTGAGAAGAACAATTTATTTTTATGTACATAAACTTGATAATAAAGAAAGAAAGAAAAATGCTTTAGGCATTATTAAATCATTTCAATGAAGGTTAAATGACTGTGAAGATCAGTTTAAACAAAAAATTATTCTATTTGATGGTGAATAATAAAGATCATGGTCAAAGTTAACAATGTTGCTTGTTTCTATTGACAAACTTAAATCAATCATGCAGAATAATGACATAAGAAATATGAATAATATCTTCTAATTTTTTTTCTCTCGAAAATCATGACTTTTATTAGTGTAATTTAAATGATCAATATTGATAAAAACCAAATACACTACCAACCTACATCTGCTATATATCATCTATTAAGAATATTACAAAAGAATAAACAATTTCTTTAATATATAATAAAACTTGAATCTAATCTATTTTGACTACTAAATAAATACTAACGTTGTTTGATATAATTTATTCATATAGACAAAAAAAGATTTGATTAATCATAATTATAAGGAATGAGATTTGTCAATCATTCAAATATAAATTATTGATATAGGATTTAAAAATACCATTTATAGATATTATAATAATAAAGTAAAAATAAAATTTATTTGATAGAATCAATTTTCATGATCTATATTTTTTAGACAAATCGTATTGATATTAATCAATTAAGAAATGATATAAACGTGCTGCAAATTTCCTGTTGTTATTTACGTGAGGTATTTTCAGGAAATTCTAATACACCTACTAATGCTTAATTAGAAAAAGAAGAATTATCGATTCTATTTGAAAAGATATGAATCAATTTTCTATCTATGAATTATCATTGAATATTTTTCAATATAAACAATTTCAATAAAATTGATCATTACTATAGAATCTATTGATTTTCATATGAATATTTGTAAAACACTTCTTGTCCTTGTCTATATAATAAATATTGACAATGATATGAGCAAACAATAATTGACATGAGCAACATATAGGTTCCTATCTCCGGATATGAAATAACCTATCTATAATCAGGTTCGAATACAAATTAAATAGAGAATGAATAATTACAGACTATAATAAGAATCACGATTGTATTGACATAAAAGAGCGTGGAATCACTTGAAGATTCCATCAAACGTCATCCTTGTCTATAGATATATATCAAAGATTTTTTTTCTCTATTGTTATTTAACAAAAAAAGAAAACGAGACTATGAAATTTTCAAAATGAATTAAACTATTTCCTTCTTTAATTGTATATCTCGATATCTTTCATATGCCGATATTTTGAATGACATCGGAAAATAAATACTTCATCTAAACAAAAATGTTGACATTTCTTTGTCTATTCGATTGATTTATAAAAGAAAAATTGTTTAAATATATATTTATTGACGTCATGATAATAGCCATTGCTTGAATAAGAGAATATGTTTGTCAAACAATGCGAAGAAATATTAGGAAAATCTCTTCTCTTTTTTTTTTTTTAAAACTATACGTGACTAGAGAGAGAAAAATAGAAGAAAACAGAGAATCCGAAAGATCATTAGTTATAGAGTCTATTAAGAAAATTTGAGAGACACTTATATCGATGAATTTTCTATTTCAGTATCATTCCAAAATTCTTCTAGCAATCGTTGATCATCTTTATTAATCAGGTAAAAACTATTTTCTTAATAATATATACTCCCACACATATTAAATTTTCACAGCAAAAATGCGTACTACATTAATCAATACAATTTTATGTTTTTTCATTGTTATGATTGGTATAACATTATCATCTAGTATGTCACTTGATAATGATGAACATATTGCTGCTTCAAATATGGATTGGATTGATGGTGATAATTATTATCCAAGTCATCAACTTGATCTTCGTGCAGCTAAATCACGTTTCTGGAAACGTGCACCAAATCGTCATTTTTGGAAACGATCAATATCAAACGAATGAGAATTAAAAAAATCTAACAATAAGATAAATTTTTTTTTCAATTATCGACGAAAGAAAAATTTTAAATAAAACAAAAAAAAGTTTTTTTTTTTTTCTTCTATTCTCTATTCAATAGATTTATTCATGCAATAATCTATTAGCCTATTCATTCTTTGAATATAACTGAATAAAATACAAACATAAGAAGAAGAAATAAAAAACAACAAAGAAATTGTTGTCATTAGCTATTGAAAATGTAATAGAATCCTTCGAGACATTCATTGCAATATTATTTAAGTCATTATCTATATGAATTGTTAAGCAAGACAATAAGAGAAATCGTATACTAGTTAATGTAGGTAATAATTCATTTAAATTATTCATTCTTTCTTTTCCCTAAAAATTTATTCATGCATATAATAGATGAGAATCTAGAACAATATATCACGGAAAGAGAAACAGGAAATCTTTTTGTAATTGATTGATAATTGTATTTTATTATACAGTATACATAGAAGAATTTTTATTCGGAAGTGAAATTCGATAATCATTATCATTAATTTGTTGATATTTTGTACATTGAGTTAATATCTGACGTGTGTTATCGATTGATTTTACTTTCGGATAACATTTACATATACATTCATTTCTATTAACTAATAGTTTTTGTTGAGAACAAGATTTGCATGATGTCGGATATTCTTCATTTATATTAGTCTTTTGATACTCATACCGCATTTGACTAATACATCGTATGCATACTAATAACAAAAGTAGAATAACAGTAATTAGACCAATGACTATAAACCATTGTCGTAAAGTATCATTCTCAAAGGATACAGTTTTATAAGATTGTAAACGATCGAATATTCCATGAAGTTGTGCATTTTCATCTGGCATAGTAAATATCATATTCTACAATATTAGTTTAAAATGTAATAAACAAATTTCTCAAGAAAAAACTTTTTTTTTTAAAATAACAAAAGAAAAAACGGATTTCGATTTCTTTTATATAAAGACAAACATCATCAATAATTATACTAATGTTCTTTTTTCCTAGGAGGCTTGAATCATTATGATTTGTTGTTAACTACTGAAACCAAAAAAAAGAAAAAAGAAAATCTCAAGTAAAATACAATGAGTCATAGGCCAAATATTGATCCATATTTTATTTGAAGAATGATTAATTGAATTTTATGATCAACATTTATACATTTATTCTTTAAATGACACAAATATCAGTAATTTCATTCTTATGAGAAATAATCTTTGATTAGTTCCACATTACATCATGTGTAATAAAAAAATTTCATCAAACTTATAAACATGACGCATTCTGTCATCAGTAGAGATTACGTAAAAATGTTCTTATCACTATTCAAAGCCAAAATTTTATAAAAATTGTTGATGATTGTATTTCGAACATAAAATTTATTTATAGTTCAGAGTGCAGAATTTGGATGATGGTTTTACATAAAAAGCGGGTGGATATTTGTTGAGTAACTATCGATAGGGACAAGACGGAGACCTGCGGTTTTTACCGTTGGAAAGAAACGATGAAGATGCATCGAAGTTCTTATCTGAAAATATTTGTCTAACTACGTTTTTAAAAGTTGTTTATTCCGGATACGTAAAAAATATCGATTTCTTAATTTCAGGTGATTTCTAATTGATTTCGATTAGCGAAATCAGTTTGTTCCCCTTGGAATTTGCACAAAATTATGTGATTTGCATTATTAGATTTATTTGATAATACATTATCTACACAAGAAAACATGCATTATTACTATTTTAATATTAGTAGTATCATCCTCTTTTATATTTATCTATGATGTTTGTTTTTAAAATCTCATTTTTCATATAGTTAGGTTTACATTTCATTACTAATACAATAGAAATCTAGGGACTTGACATTATTTCAAAGCTATTTTCTCAAGGCTCATAATTCATTTATTTAAGGTTTCCATAGTGAGAGTCTCATTCTCTATTACCGATAAGAGAATTAATCCATCAAAATTATTCTTTTGTTTTTCTATAGAAAAAGAAATTTATCTCGGAAAATATGCCAGTATGATTTTGTCTCATACATACCATATCTTTCAAGTAATTCAAATCGTCAATAACCAGATTTCAGCCGAAGTATAATACCAAGAAAAGATTGTCAGAACGAACTTCTCATTATATCACAATTTAGACATCAAAATAAATCGATAATATTTAACCTTGTAATTAATCAATACAGACATAAATAAAATGATTGATAGAGTTGAATATTTCTCAAGGGTTTTGATCTTTAGAGACTAGTATTTATATTTTTAAAAGAGTTATATAAAAATGAAACACCTTTATTCATTTTTGGATATCGGTCAAAAGTAAGAACTTACACATTATTTTTTCATATTTAGACCAAATGATATTATCGCTCACTTATCATTATTATCTTAATTTGTTAGAATAAAAAAAGGAGAAAATTTACAGTTGAATAAATAATCATATATTTCAAATGATCAATATTGACATATAGCGAATGAAAATGAATATAAAGATTTTGATTGTTTTCTTTAATTTCCTTTTTTTCTCTAAAATTATATTTGATCGATAAAATTTCCAAATAAATCAGACGAGCAAAACTAAATATATATATGACTATCATTTTTCTTCAAGTAAAAGAGAGAAAAAGAAATTCTCTTTTATAAACTAAGATAATAATCTATTGTAGAGACGATCAATCAGATTTATAAGGGGGTATGTAGTTAGTATATAGAGTCAAATAATAATGTTACTTTGAGCAAGAAAGATATTTTTATTATTACCTCAAAGGTAATAGTGTTATTTCTTGTTTTGATCTCTTCTCTCTTATACAAAGAATATATCCGGACTCGTTCATTTTTTTTTAGTAAAGATGCGAAGTAGTCTATAGAAGAAATTTAATTCATTACGGATAGTTTTTTTCTTTTTATATTTGTCTAATCGATAGATGAAAGGATTCGCCTACTTTTTTTCCATTATCTTCTTCACTATTTATTCCCATTAATCATCATAAATTTTCTATTTCTTATGTTTTCTTTACATTTATAAATCAGTCGTTCAATCGATCGATCTATCTATCTATTTTTTTTTCTCTCTACAAGTAGATTTCAATCAAACGAATACAATAAACTCCTATATTCAATTAATTATTAGTACTTTTGTAATTCATAAAAATAATGAACTGTTTATCTTTCCGGAAACTACTATATAGAACCTTTGTAAAAAAAAATTGGTACCTGAATATATATTTTACTCATATATCATCATCACTCACTCACATATACACATATTTTATCTCTAGAGACTTTTTTTTCTTTTTTATAACTTAAAATAATGATTGATTATCATGAGTTTTGTTCTTTGATTTCAGTTCCTACTATTAACTTATTATCATTATCATCATCATCATCTTTATTTTCTTATCATCATCATCATCATTATGCAGACAAAATTAATTCTTATTGCTGGTATTCTCGCCGTCCTGTTTCTTTTCAATATCAACACTGTTGAATCAAACTTATTTTCAAACAGTGATGAACATATGGATGGTTTCAGTTCAGAAGATTCATCTGAATTCGATAAACGTCTTGCTTCGGCTAAATTTGCCAGTGGTCTTGGTAAACGTTTAGCATCAGCCAAATTTGCAAGTGGTCTTGGCAAACGATTATCATCAGCAAAGTTTGCTTCAGGCCTTGGCAAACGTTTAGCATCAGCTAAATTTGCTTCTGGTTTGGGTAAACGTCTTGCATCAGCTAAATTTGCATCAGGATTGGGCAAATAAAAATCAAAAAACATTCGTTTTTTTTTTCGTCTTCTCATAAGAACATTAATTAAGCAATACAAAATATTTTTCTTTCAATCAAAATAAAATTTAACAAAAAAAAAAGAAATCTTATTAATTGTTACTTAGTTTTCTGTAATTTATGATGTGTTTAGAACGAGATAAGTTTAACAAAAAGAATGAT